TTTTCTATTTCTTGCTTGGGCGCATTGTCGGAGGTTTTCAATTTTTAAAACTTCATTCTCGAGTACACCATCTACTCTGAGAGAAATTTTTTACAGACCACGAGAAAGAGTGCATTCGAAAGTAGCAAACATAAACTGGGTTCTCACTTTTGCTAAGCTTTTTTACGAAAATAATAGGAGAAGAAAAAGTTCGAGTCGAAAAAAATACTGAATTTACAAAGTTTTCATTTTCCCGCCTCCCGTATAATTTGCTTAGTTTTCTTTGATTGAAGTTCTGAAATTAAGTTTAGATATGATTTTGTAGAGCATTGCATGGTACTTCTATTAAAAAAATAATTTGTTCTAGGGGACGTAAGAAACAGGAGTTCGAGCAAAAATACCGAGATCGAGTTCACCGTTAATTTTTCTTTTTTGTGAAGCACGTTTCTAAGTCTATAACTTTCTTACTATATGAGCTAGCGGGATCAATCAAAAGCCATCTTGTAGAGCGTGTTTCACTGCGTCTTTTCATCATAGAGAGAAATTTACAAACATGTGTTTTACTTTAGAAAAATTATTATACAAATCGAGTCAGGACTTCCGGACCACCCTTTATACTTGTCTTTAGAGTGATGTAACTTTTGTGGATGATCTGAATTCCTATTTAAATTTAAGCTAGTTCAAATCAGCTATACCACTACAGAAGGTGTTAATAACAGCTATTGGCACCTTCTAGCTTACTACTATGCCTGAAGATGCCAGTGACGGCTATTGCCACCTCCGGACTTGTCACCAAGGAGCTATGGCCACCTGCAGAAGGCGTCAATAACCGCTATTGCCACCTCCTAGGTTACTACTATGCCTGACGGTGCCAGTAACGGCTATTCGCACGTTCTAGCTTACAAGTGTCAGTGCATATTTGTATGATGATTAGAGGTCCCACACCTAGCCGTCACACATTCTAGCTTTAGTAGTAGTAAGCTAGAACATGGCAATAGCCGTTACCGACGCCTTCGGACATAGTAGTAAACTAGAAGGTGACAAGAGCCGTCAGTGGCACCTTCTGAAGGTGGCCATAGCTCCTTGGTGACACCTCCGGAGGTGGCAATAGCGCTACCCAGGATTTTCTGAGTACCATTATTCTCATTTTTCATCATTTTACTCAAAAAAATTGAGTTGATGACTCAAAAAAAGGGTCTTCAACTTTTCAGAGTGAGCAAATTAACTCATTCTTTGCTACAAAGAAAATATTTTGAAACTGTTTTTTGATGTCATATTCTGATAAAGCACATTCTAATGCATATACTCACACTCGTATGAAACCCTTAAATTCGGTGTGAACAAAAGAACAATGGGTCCGAAGTAGATTCGAACCTCTGGTAATAATTATAGTCAGTATTGCGTATGACTACTTAAAACTACTCTATTAAATACCTTAGTAGATTTCTGCGGTCAAAGTTTTGCTAAGAAAATTTTAACATGTTCTTTTTAGAATTGCTTGAGACCTTGACAAGATTTCATCGGGTTTCTCACTGAAGTGGAGTCGTTCGATCTGCTGGATTCTCTAGGGTATTACTAAAATACGCTAACACCCACTAACATCCACCAACACCCCCAAATTATAGTCGGTCAATAGACCTGTTCTTTGTGAATAAAGTAACATCAAACAAACATCGAAAAACGTAGTAATGCAGACATTTCTGCCTATGCTAGTAAACACTTTAATCGATCTGATTTTATTTGCTAACATATCAAACAGACTTAAACATATATCTCTCCCATCACATGAGTGGATCGTCTGATATATGATGCAGCTGATCTTATACGCAAATAATGAAGCAGAATAACCACTGTTCTTACGAGAACTTCAACTTTTGTCCTCAAGAACTTGGTGTTTCTTCACAAGAACTCCACCTTTTCCCCCCAAGAACCTGGTGTTTCTTCACGAGAACTTCATCCTTTTTTCGAGTCTGAGTTGTGATCAAACAGCCTTAAAAAGTGTAACATTTGGTGCCCCACGATGAGTTTATGAGCTCTCAATTTTTTGTGAGTATGTGTATGGCACAAAAACTCATTTGTTAAGCGATTAGTTGATGAATGAGCTGTTTTTTATCTGCTTCCTTCTTGCATCTGTGGTATCTGTATTCTGCGCGACTGGATCATGTATTCGGTTTGTAAGTTGCTTGATGCGTAGTACAAAGAAAACAAGTTTATTATATGTTAAACAGTTGCGGACGTTATTTAAACACAATCTATGTAGTTCAGAGATAATATTTTATAGTCTGCATCTTCATTAGATGTCTCTATTTTTCATTCAAATAAACGTGCACCAAAGGGACACTGTTGAAATAAAGCTTGTATAATCCGATTAATATGGACAATGTTGCTTGACATATTATTTTCATTTAGAATATTTTTAAGGTAAAAGCAAGTATATATTTAAAAAAGACAAGCGAAAATAGAAAGGTCATCAATTTAGTCGTTTTCTACTTTGTTAGCTGTTGTACTAAAGGCGATCGAAAAGATAAAAAGGCTTTGACGTTCAAAGCAACTTCATATGCCATCTGTTCTGTTTTTGGATATCGATGTTCCAAGAATCTGTAGTTAATTAATAGAAATTTCTTCAGAAGCCAGATTGTTCATTTAAGCTAAACTCATTAACGAATGAAACTGTGATTCATTACTTCAGATTATCCTTCGTTTATTTTAACATTCAGACAGTTATGATCTTCATATAGCCACATGACTTTTGTCACTGACAACGTTGGTCAGAGAATGAGTAATCATCCTTTCTATAAAGCGCATTTCACGTTTGTTGATGTTAATTCTAACAAGGAGGACTATGAAATGAGTAATATGAGTTCTTAATAAATATAAATATATTAACTCGTAATAGATAGTTTGTGTTTCAGTTCCTATTATTGATCTTGTGTTTAATGTTGTCATTTATTGATTTCTTTGCTTTTATTTTAGTGAATCAACTATTAATTATTATTAGGAATTTTTCAAATATCTCTTTGTATAAATGAGTGTGCCCAGCTCCCGTCATATCTGTGACTCTTACAGTCTCTGAAACAGGAAAGATCTGGAGCAATCCAAAACAGTTAACGAACGATAAAAAGAAAAAGAAAGAAACGTATCTTTGCGATTTTGAAACCGTTGGACATATGGAAACTATTCGTGCATTTTCGATGTCCAACATTTTTCTGATTTTTTTGTGACTTGTACAATCTTAATTACTCTACAAAATAAAAGTTAGAAACTTCTGAAATTTCCATAGACGGCGGAAAAAAAGACGGGGGCGATTATTTGATGGAATCGGCCCCTGCTTGAATTTCATCGACACATACATGGTTAAATGCAGAATAAACAGGAGAACATTTCTAGCCACCTCACAGACCTTAGAGTTACTCTCAAAAAAAAACTACGCCTAATTTACTGTAACCAAAGTTCTACTCTTCTTTGTTCAACGATGACGATCCTGTGCTCCACATTTCTCTACTAGCCACGACGATACATATACCATTCGATAGAGAATTTCTCGCCCTACAATTTCATATATATATGATAGTGAAAAAAAGTGTCCTGGGACCCCTTGACATTAGAAATACTGTCTGGAAAGCCAGTGGGTGGCTGTTAAAAGTGGGTGGCTTATTTCACGGTGACGATGCTGTGATGAGGATGCTGTGATCAACGTTTCTCAACTAGCCACTACGATAGATATACCATTCAATAGAGAATTTCACGAGCTTCAAAATGAGCGATAAACAAGTCATTCAGAAATATACCCACATGGGTCAATAGTTGAAATACTTGTCGGATATAATGATTTTGACCTATCTTAGTGTTTCTTAGTGTTTCAACACTCCTTTAGGCGTTTTTCTGCCATAATGAAAATTATGTATTGTTCCAAAACATACCACTGGATAGCCCTTGAAATTCTCTACAAAGTGAGCTGGTCACAATATACAGACACGTGGGGCCTGTCATTAAAGATATTGAAAAGAAACTTTTGGGTGTTATGTAAGCAGTACCGTGTGTCATAATCACAAGAACTCCCTTGCTTTTGACCTTTTAGTAAAAGCTGTAACCAATCAGAACAGTGTTTTGAATAGCCCGAAGATTTTTCTATCAGATTAGGTGCATGTCCGCCTTTCATGAGAAAAGTTGATAATAGAGCTTGTGGAAAACGTGCCTGCTTAAAAACCGGGTGCTTAGTTTTTAGCGAAAAAATTTTTCAAACCATATAGCCTGATAGAGCGAACAATTCTGAGCAAAATAAGACTGCTCCCAGCATTCTATAGCGCTCTTTCATCTGAATATTTTGATAACTTTGGCGCCCCTAGTGGCTAGTGGTAAATTGGCTGCAGTTGCGTGAAAAAGCGCTATAGAATGCTGGGAGCAGTCTTATTTTGCTCAGAATTGTTCGAAAAATCTTCGGGCTATTCAAAACACTGTTCTGATTGGTTACAGCTTTTACTAAAAGGTCAAAAGCAAGGGAGTTCTTTGGCTTTAAAATCATTCAGATAGCCTCCCAATTTGATAGTTTTCTGCTTCGAGTTTATAGTAGCACTGAGTTTGTAGAGACGCTGAAAATGGATCAGGAGTAGAATTCCAGTACCAAACGACCGTTTCATGGTTGGTTGCCATGCGTGCGAAGAAAGAATCGATAATAAAAAACACACCAGCAATATTCAGTGAAGCTGTTTGTCAAACAGCTGAGATCCAAACAAGATCAGGCACATCAAACGTGAGGTGATCTTCTATGATTTACAAGAGAGATATGCTCTGAGAAGACAACGTTTTTTTCGCTGAGCCAAACTTGACGAAATCTTTTGAAGAAGGGGTCAAAATTTATAACTGAATGGGAGCGGTCTGAGTTCTACCTGAGCGGCGATCTTGAGGAGTTAATTAATCGCGGATTTCTTACAAAGGGAAGTAAGCAGTATAAACAATTGTTTAAATCTGGCGGGAGTCGCGATTCGTACCATATTAGCACTAGACTGGAGGAATCGAAAATTATGCCAATTAATTTAGCAGCTAAAGGAATTCTAACAAAAGGGCAAACGCTAGGCAAATCTGCCGAAGCTAGTAAGGTAGCAGACGAAATGAGAAATGCTGGACCTAGTCTGGCTAAGGTTTGTATAAGGTTATATACTGAAGAAACATTTCTGTATCCAGAAATGAATCAAACACACGATTGTGGATTCTTTTCCCCTGTCAGCGGATGTCACCAGTCTATTACAGCTCATAGCTTCTGGTTCCAGTAGTGATCGACAATACTCGTATGAAGGTACAGCAGTTGATGTTTACTTGCTTGGTGTGCTCATGTTTATGTGCGCGCCCAAAGATGTTTACATTCCTCCGTCGAACAGCATTATCGAACAAGTGGATCAACTCGATAGGAAGAAAGTTTCAGAAAACTATTGCGCATTGATTGTTCGCTGTCTTGTGAAAGATTCAAAACTAAGGCCAATAGCTCAAGAAATTGTCGATAAACTCGATAAATTGGCCAAACAGTCCATTGCAAGGGGGGAAAAGCGGACTCCTGGACTCCCATGGACCCCTATGGACTCCTATGAACTCCTATGGACTCCCGGACTCCCATGGACTCCTGAAGTCTAGGAGTCCAAGAGCAAAGTGTCCTTTTTTGGGAATCACTTCCCAAAAAAGAACAAAAGTGTCCAATTTTTGGGAAGTGATTCCCAAAAAAGAACACTT